ATAATATAGTATGTATATATATATGTATTATGATTTACATATCGCAGATCAGTTTTACAAGAGTTGGTACTTTTAATAAAGTAGTATGCAGAGATACATAATATAGTATGTATATATATATGTATTATGATTTACATATCGCAGGTCAGTTTTACAAGAGTTGGTAAAGATCAGTCACAGATACGATTTCAAATGTTAGTGAAGATTATTTATTCACTTTATTACTGCTAATATTCATTCTTATAACAACAGTTTAGAAAGCATGAGATTTGTAAAACATACGATAGTATATAAGAAGTCACAAAAGTATTTAATTTTGCATTTTTAGTGTCTCACCCTCTTCATATAGTCACGACAGGCACATTACCTAGTCATACATATATTGCCCCTTTCACAATAGAGCCATTCCATAATCCAGGATTAGATGCTGAGAGACAGGTATTTTATAAATGTTCATACAGCGTATATAACGTTTCAAGAACAGTTTATGATATCTTTCCAACAATTTATTTATCATAAGTAATTTTTATGTTCACGAGCAAACATTTACATAAAAATTTGACATCACAATAGATATCAAAAACCGGTTATTTTCAGATTTGTATATTGACACACTCAAATGTAGCGAAAGCAATCGAATACATTAAGACATGGGAAATGTGGTTTACAGATAATAAAAATAGCTGTAAAAGAGTTATATTTCTTATGGTCTTTATGATTATTACTTTTCCGTTTCTTCCTAACAAGTGACGTTTCTCAACAGCTACTGATGCTTGGTGGGAGTCGGATAAACCCATTTGGTCGAACTGTTGATTGAAACACGTGTTGGACATTTCTCAAACTTACTACAGCAGTTTACTGTGGCTAGACATTTTTACGGCCGAAAATGGCCCTGCCAACACTGCGCAGCACATTCACGTTTCAAACTATCGCACTGACTCGCCCCACTTCTCGTACCACCAAACCTGAAAAGATATTTTGTTAGGTGGGTCAGTATTTTTCTTTCGAAGTTTAACAGCTTCCCACGTGAAGAAAAGCTTTTGTATCCTCGCCCTTTTGCTTCTGATGTTTTGAATACATGCACTGTAGCTTCGGGGTCAAATATTTCGAGAAAAATATATAACATTTGCCTGATAATATATATATATATAAGCTTTACTTTTTAAAAATGCTGTCTATTTTATATAGAGGAAACTCGTACATTATTCCAAATACAAGTAATTGTAATCTGTATTATTGTGAAGTTTGCATTTAAGATTTTATCATCATGAACTTCTGATCAAAGGAAGCTTTCTACACAAACCAGAACTAAAATTCAACTCAGTAATGAACATAGCTGATGTAATGATTAGAATGCATTGGTCATCTATTAAGGCAATATTTTGACTTTTCTTTGATAATGTCAGTATATATATATGGCACTTATTTAATGATTTTTTTTACTGTTGGTGTTCCAAGTATGACATTTTTGTTGTTCTTAAAATAGAGTATGGTTTCAACGTAAGCTCTTGGTCGCAAAAATATAGTTCTTATTTTTGACAACTTATTACAGTTACGATAATAGAAACGAATATTTCCACGTTCTGTTTGCATAAGTTTGGTTTTCTTTAGTTTTTGTTTTGTTTTGTTATTGCAAACTCTTCTTCTTAATTGATTTATTTCTGTGTTCTTATTAAAACTTAAGTAAAACTTAAAACTTTAGTAACATGTTAACGTTCCAGAAAGTAGCTTTCCAATAGCATGGTAGAAAAATGCGAAGGTAATAAAATAAAAAAATTAGACTTTTGGAGGAAAATAACCTTAAAAAAACTGTAGTTTCATTTTATTTCCTTTTACTTCAAAATGTTTCTAGAGTTGTCATTAATCAAAAGGCCTGTTTCTGGCTTGAAAAAAGAGCGTTTGCTGGAAAAGTCACCAAGGAAATAAAATACAATCACAATAAGATATCGCTACATATTTTAACACAAACACATACAAACTTTCAGTGGTCTCAGGTTGAGCTAAGGCAGAACAAGTCTACATACGGTCTCAAATAGCGAAATGTTGACTGTGTGTGCGCACAGCATACGTACGTACATTCTCTAGTATTTATACGATCACCACCCACTTCTTACACAGTAACGTATTTATTACATTGAAATGAAATACTGTTTGCCTTTAAAAAACGTTCCCTCCATTTTATTGCATCACATGGTATTAGAAGACTTCATTCAGCCAGTAACAGTAAGCGAATTTTCATGTAGAAACCACTACAGTATGTATACCACTTATATGTAGAAAGATAATGTTTCAATGGTTTATTGTATTGAAAAATCACATCAGAATAAATGTTTAACTATTTCTTTCGTGTATATATAGCGTTAAAAAACGTTCTCATGTTTCTATAAGATATATATATGTATATATAAGTTATATAAGTGATTTGTAAATGTACATTCTCAAATGTTTTCCTTTTCATTCCTCATACGTTGTTCTAAGAATTGAATCAAACAAAACATACATGATCAGTAGCAGAAAGTAGAACATAAAAGCATTTATGTTCTTAATAGGTGAAACAATTTTCTAAGTCTCCAACTGTATTATTCTAAGTTTATACGTTTCTTATATAGCAATAAAATTAAATTGACCATTGTACTTTAACTAAGTTCAGTGTTAAAATAATAACTATACTACCCCGGAGTGAAATATTCTTTGCTTCAAGGCACAAACATTATACATAAGTTTTCTTTTATATGACTTAAAATCTGGATCATCATAATCCAAACTAGCTCTGAAGCGGTTTGCAATAGTTTATTCAAAGAGATACGCCTCCAGACGTTTCAACAAATTGGTCTTAATTTCAAAATATTTACTAAGAGAAATTGTAAAACCTTATAGGTTTCTTTTAAAACTTCAAAAATATTATCAAAAAATCTTCATATCCCCCACAGCAATATCTGTTTTAGGGGATATTAGTGATATAGCTAGATTTAATTATACTATATTAATTTGTCTGGAACAAAGTGAAAAATAATTAACAAAAGTATAGTTTTTCAGCCAAAATCTATTTATGTGAGTAATTAACTGGAAGTATTATTTATATGTTCCAGCTAAAGATAAGAAAATAATAAGGGTATTTTCATATTTAGCTAAGGTACAAGTGGCAGTTTAAACACCATACCTGCCAATACTTATAATAGAATCTCGGTTCTAGTATTATCTTACCAGACATATATCTTCTTTCTCTGTATTTTTCCTAGAAGATGCACCATCGCTGAACGCCCTTGTAGTTTTGTTACAGCCATAAGTATATAGTTCATCAGCTAAATGTATGTTTTCAGTAACCCTGCTGTTAGAATGCGTCCACTCTGTCACTTCAGGCTCTTTATCACTTAAGGATAATGCTAGATCACTCGTGAGGATATTTTCTGAAATGTTTATCTTAGAGAGTGGAATATCCAAGCTATTACTTTGTGAAATGTTGTTTTTTGTACTAAATGTATCTTTTACTGAAGTGTGTTCTTCGCCATCATAACTCTGCATGTTCTTACACTTACCGTGGGCATCTTCACAACGTTCTTTCTTGAAAGTACCGTTTTCTGGATCGTTGCGGGTTATGTTTGTGGCAAAAGATTTGTCTTCATGACACATCGACTTTCTACTAAACTTCTCGTTAATAGCGAGTGAAGAAAGCAGTTTAGACTTCTTAGGATTTGCAAGCATGTTCAAATCTTTTGCGACAAGAACTTTGTTAAACTGTTGATCTGGAAACTCATCTTGGCTTTTTACAGTAATTTTCCAATCGTTATTACCGAGTAAATCATCATTATTTTCTGATTTACTCTGCCCACGTCGATTTTTGTTGATTCCATTATTAGTTTGCTTAAAAAAAGGTAACTTGTAAACGCCATCTGCAGTTCTAGCAGTTTCTTTCCTGCAAAGATAATAAATTATTCGGTTAGAATATAAGGGCTTAGATTTTAAGGTTTTTGCAAAACAAAATAGAGTTTTTAGTGCTATGGTAGGTTAAACTCTGACTAAACTTTTAATCCTTTTTATGATAATCCTCATAACAAGCTTTAGACACTATTTGGTAAGAAGTGCATCCTGCATAAATTAGAAATGCGGCAACTAACTGTCCTTGAAATGTACCATAAAAGCATAATTAAAGATATGCACTACAACTATTCTGTGTTGCTTATGTGACGTGAATAGACAACGCAGAAACAGTACAAATATACACAAATATATATAGATATATATAATAAATATTTATGAAAACTATTCCATTTCATTTGGAAAATGCCCCCCAGTGGCACAGCGATATG